TGCTTATTTCTTTGTAGGTATTAATTTTCTAACAATAGTTTACATAGTTTTATTGTATTTTAACATATTTCACTGAAGTTCCATCTTTTTGTCTCGTTTTTCACAGATTACGTATATCGGATATGTACTCAGCTATTTGTAAACGTTTTTTTTTTATGTTCTTTGTTAATTGTCGCTAATTTTCTGTCTCATGTCTCGTTTTTAGCATATTTCATTATGATTTATTGTATTAACTGTATTTTATTAGCTTTCCGACGGGTAGGTGTTTATTACTGTTTTGCATGTTTCCCCTTATAATTTTGATGATTTTTTTTTAATGTATATTCATTGCATATCAAATGCTTTGATTATTATTTCCTATTAGTCTGTTGGTGCTTATTACTTTTTGCAGGATGCCTCTTATAAGTTTGATGTTTTTTAATGCATTTTTCATTGCATGTTGACTGCTTTGATTATTAGTTCCTATCCATCAATAAGTGTTTTATTACTTCATTGCATCTCGATTTTATTTGAAGGTTATTTGCTATCTGTCAGTACGTGTTTATTACTTTTTTTTTTACTTGTTGTACACATTAGTACCTCTTCTGTTTTAAGATATGCTTTTCGTTCTTTCTGCTTCTTCTTTCTTTGTAGGGTGTTTTTTTTTTATTATAATTTACATAGTTTATTATATTTTAGCATTTTCACGTTATATTTTGCTTATGTTTTTTTTTGCAGGTATTTATTTTGGTAGTATTTAACATTGTTTTATTATATGTTTAGCATTGTACCTCTGTAAAGCATATTTGACATTTATGAGTGGCTTTTCAATGGTTTTTACTTTCAGTTTAAGTAGTGTCAGTTTAACTGGTACGGATTGTTGGTGGAAATATATATTTACCGAAGCACAATACCAACCTACAAATAAAATATTGCCCGAAATGCCGTAGATAAAATATAGTACTCAACTTACCATTTGTATTCGCTAATTTTGTATATCACTCGAATTGTTATGAATATGATTACGAATAAGCCTCGATGTTTTGTTGGCGATAATAACTATGCAATTTATTCGAAGTCGAATAAAACGATTTTACGCTGGTATTTCCCTCGTGCCGCTGCATATGTGTCACTAAAGGCGTCTGAATGTCTCTGTTATGACGCTCTGTTACCCTCTGTGTACCTCTGCTACCCTCTGCTACGCTCTGTTTCCCTCTGTTATTGTGTCTTTGTCTTTTAAAATGTCGAACGTCACGTCACAACGTCACACGTCACGTAATTCCTACATTTCACGTCCTACGTCGAATGTCACGTCAATTCACGTGACATTTCACGTTTTGTGTCGAATGTCACATAAATGTCACGTCCTGCGTCGAATGTCACGTCCTGCGTCGAATGTCACGTCAATTCACGTGACATTTCACGTTTTGTGTCGAATGCCACATAAATGACACGTCTTACGTCGAATGTCACGTCCTGTGTTGAATGTCACATAAATGTCACGTCCTGCGTCGAATGTCACGTCCTGCGTCGAATGTCACGTCAATTCACGTGACATTTCACGTTTTGTGTCGAATGCCACATAAATGACACGTCTTACGTCGAATGTCACGTCCTGCGTCAAATGTCACGAGACATTTCACGTTCTGTGTTGAATGTCACATACCTGTCACCTCCTGCGTCAAATTTCACGACGTTTAACGTTCTGTGATGAATGTCACATAACTGTCACGTCCTGCGTCGAGTGTCACGTCCTTCGTCAACCTTCTCTTAGCCACTGTCCTGAAAAGAAGAAGAAGAAGAATGTTCATACTGATCGTTGATATGGCTTCTGTGCTTTGACACCTCATACGTCAAAATCAGACCAATAGCAACGAAGATACGTTTTAGCGCCCATTTGGCAACGCCGCCATCTTTGTTTTTTGTGTCAAAGTATTCCCCGTCTCATCCCCGTTCCATCGAGCCCTCGTGTCACGTCCTGCGTTGAATATCACGTCAATTCACGTTCTGCGTCGAATGTCACGTCAATTCACGTGACATTGTACGATCTATGTCAAATGTCACATAAATGTCACATCCTGCGTCAAATGACATGTCCTGCGTCAAATGTCACGTCCTACGTCGAATGTCACATCATTTCACGTGACATTTCACGTCCTGCATCAAATGTCACGTTCTGTGACAAATGTCACGTCCTGCGTCGAATGTCACGTGACATCCAACGCTTTGACACCTCATACGTCAAAATCAGACCAATAGCAACGATGATACGTTTTAGCGCCCATTTGGCAACGCCGCCATCTTTGTTTTTTGTCTCCCTGCTTTCTCCCCGTTCCAACGAGCCCTCGTACGTCACGATCGGACCAATAGAAACAAAGATATGACGTAATGACCTTTTGGCATGCTCCGATGCGCACGGCACATACTGCATTCAACCCCATTTTTCATCCCCTTTCCAACGAGCCCTCGTACGTCATCCTACGTTAAGCCGTTTGGAACTTACGACCGGGGGTTGCGATTTTAGGGGTTGCAATTTAGGGGATGAGCTCAAAGACCCCTAGTATATCTACTGCTGTTAACTTATGTTCTACATTTTTTGCCACTGTAACGTATCTATTAGCAAGATACCTTTTAATGATATTGATGAGATATCCTAACACTCGTGCTGATTCAAGTTTTGCTATGATATGTGCCCAGTTGGCAGAGTTGAAGGCATTCTTCACATCAAACATGACCAGTATGTCCCATCTTTTCTTTGTGTTTTTTACAGTATCAGTTAAACTTTTTACCGCGTCTGTGGCTGATTTATCTTTTCTAAATCCGTATTGTCTGTTGGAGATAGTCTCCCATTCACTTAATTCATCTTCTAGGCGATTTTTAAGAATATTTTTTGGTATGGTTTGCCCAGACAGTCTAATAGCCATAATGTACGAATTGGTTTCGTCCGGGTTTTTACCGGGTTTATGTATCAGTGTATGTTTAGCTAGTTTTAGCTGGTCTGGAAATTTTTGCAACTCATTAAGTGCCCTTCTAGTAGCTTCTGGGGATTTATTCACTAGTATTTTTATCGGCTCTGGTGGCACACGGTCTGGTCTAGTGGATTTACCCATTTTGATGGAATTTGCGGCTCTGGTGAGTTCAGCCGCCGTTAATTCTTTGGGACAGTTCTCATCATCTAATCAGGAAGTCGTTTATTTTCCCTTCTTTTGTCATCTCATAGGTTATATGGGGTCTCTGAGCGTATCAGCATCTTAGTGGCGATCCTGTAAGCTTTGGCCCATATATCGCTCACTAATGCCTCGCTTAAGTTCTGCCAGCATGTGCGTTTAGCCCATTTGATCAATTTATTGGGTTCTTTTTTGGCGTTCTTATCTATCTATAGCCCAAAATCTATTCATGTGTTGAATATAGGTCTCTCTCATTTGTCTTCATTTTTCTCTGCCTTCTGTTGGTCTTTTCCACATTGGACCTGCGCTTTGCTCAATGTCATCTTTCCATCTCATTTGCGATCGACCTCTTGACCTTTTTGCAGTTGTATGGTCTCCAGTGGCCAATTTCTTTATTCCATCTTTCATCCTGATATCTTTCGTTATGCCCAGTCCATTTCCATTTTGATTTCAATGCATGTTCGACAGCGTCTGTTGTTTCGGTTTTGCATCTTATCCACTCTTTCCTCTTTTTATCTCTTAACAATATTACCAACATTTGTCTTTCCATAGCTCTTTGAGTTTTCTTTATTCTATCTAAGTTGCTAGTTGGTACACGTCTAAGTCTGGGCACCATATGTCAGAACAGGTAGGACGCATGCATTTAATACCTTCGTTTTAATTTTAAAGGTATTTTTTGGTTTCTGATAGTATATAAGAGTTTTCCGAATGCAGCCTACCCCATTCTTATTCTTCTGGTTATTTCTTTAGTCTGGTTACTTTTGTCTGCTCTGATAGCTTGTCCTAAATAAATATATTCTTGGACGTGTTCTATGTTTGTTCTACCTATGATAATTACTGATCTGTCTTTTGTATTAGTCATCATTTTAGTTTTCTTTAGATTCATTTTTAGTCCTTTCTCAAGAGAGGTTTTTTCTAAGTCTGAAATCATTATTCGTAGTTGTTCCATAGTTGTTGCTATCAGGAGTATATGATTTAAATATTCGTTCTTATACTCTTCTTTAACTTGGAGAGTCCTATTTTTCTATGCAGTATTCCTACTTTCATGTTTTCATTCCACCAGTGTAGTATTGTGTATGTGACATGTTTGCTTTTGCTGCTCGCTTTGTGTGCTTTTATTATGTTGTCTCTTAAGTTATTAAAGTTAATAATTTCTACTTTTTCCGTATTTGATTTCCTACTTGTGAAACGTGAACATATTATCGTCAAGCACATCCCATATCGAGATCGTTCATTTCACATAGTCAGGTTTGCTAAGAAGATCCATGCGTTTTAAATGTCCATTCTTTTGTCATTTTTTGTGGACTCCCAAAGAATGGATTTGGCGTTTATATCAGAGAATATATATATGTTGCTTCTCCCTGTGACGCCTCTATGATTTTTCAACCTGCTCAGCATATTGTGTCATGTTTATATTAGATGAGATATAAGAGGCTATGATTGCTAGTTCATTTATTTTTATCTTTAGAAATCCCTCTTTTTTGGTAATTTTGTTTATGCACACTTTGTTGTTGTTCTGTCTAAAGTCTCTCCATTTCCTGTACGGCGTCGTCTAATTTTCCAACGGAATACAAGCTGTTTCCCGGGTCAGGAACCACCTGGGATCTTCGTAACGCATGAATTGATTCTCTTCCCCTAATAGGACTATCAAAACGGAGTCCCTACCTGCTACCTGCAGAGCTTAGGCTGGACATGTTTATGGAGAGTATTATTATTGGATTTACGCAAAATAGAAAATTATGGAGAAATTATATTGGGGAATCCACTATCACCCAGAGATAAAAGAAAATAAAATTATGATGAACTAATATAGGGTGTAATAATTTTACATACAAGCATAGAGTTATATATTTTTTAATTTATTTACAAGAATAACTTAAATACTTATGAATATACACAATATTTCTATTTTTATTTAAAAATTTCTCTAATTAAAACTATTTTAGAAATTTATAAACTCCTGTAAAACATTTAGGTATCAATGATATTTTAAAATAATTTGGAAAATAATGATTTTTAAATGTACTAACCGTCTTAAAAGTCCGCTTCAGATCTCATATCTATAACATTTCAAGTATATGTTGCATTCTTAAGTGTTCTAAAGTATTAGAAAGTAGATGAAGCAGACTTTTCATGGCCACCTAACAGTTCTGATCTCAACATCATTGAGCATTTATAGGACTGTCTAAGATCGACATCTTAAATTAGCACAAATTTAAGACAAATGATGCAAAAATTGTGTTCAGGAGTTTAGATTTCCTATTATAATTTAGAACACATTATAACTTTACATAGTAATAAAATTTTATTTATAAGTCTTTGTCCCAATCAGAAAAATCATCTGGAGGTACATCTTTGTCATCCGGAAACTTCTCAAAGTACCTCGTGTCAACATTGTCGATTAACTTTGGCCTATATGGGGGTTCCACTTCGAGGTGACTAAGTTTATTCCAGTCCAAACTACCGAACCATAAATGCCTTTTGATGGCCTGAATACCGGACTTCTGGCAACCCAACCTGTCTGAAGACGATTGTGTACAAAGCTTTTTTATAAGATTCTTAGCAGTTCCTGACACGAACTCTGGAAAAATCACAAACTCTATCCCTTTCAGGATTAGCTTGTAAGTATTCATATGACCAGGGTCGTTGGTTCTGAAAGGCGTTTTACCTACAAGAAGTTCGTAAACGAATACTCCATAGGCCCAGTAGTCCACAGCTCTATTGTAACCTTTGCTCAGGATTATCTCTGGGGCTACGTATTCCGCAGTACCTACAAAAGTAAATGTCTTCTCTTTAGCATCAGTCCTTTTGGCGAAACCAAAGTCTGCTAACTTTATGTATCCATTATGATGCACAATAATATTTTCTGGTTTTAAATCCCTGTAAATTATTCCAAGGGCATGGAGATAGCTTAGGCCTTCCAAAACACAACCTAAAAACGTAAGTGTAAGCGTTATCAATTAATCGACGTAGAGAAAAAAAAACAAAAATTACTACTTTGTCCATTTAATAGAAAATGTTGCGTATGTGAACTCATATACTCCATCAATTCCAATCTACAAGTAAAATTGTTAGACACAAGTAAAGAGAAAAAAGGGGATAATAACTTAAAATATTATGTAGCTGAGATTTATTGTAGTAAGTAAAAAATATTGGCGTATTACAACACCAATACAGCACCAATTCACAGCTAATAATAAACCCTTGAAAATAGTCGACAAAATTACATATCTTGGATGCAGCCTAAATAAGAAATGGGACCACTCACAGGAAATAAAATGTCGTATAGAAAACGCGAGGGCTGTCTTCAATAGCCTCAGGAAGATTTTATATAATATGCACCTGAACATTGATATAAAAAGACGAGTCTTGACATGCTATGTATTTTCTACCCTTGTATATGGAGTCGAAGCCTGGATATTGACGGAGGCAACATCCAAACGATTAGAAGCCTTATAACATCTTTTTATATAGTTAATATATTAAATTATTTCTAATCCCTTTACCCCTGTTGCTTATACGCTCATGGTCGTGTTTACGATTAGAAAATTTTAACGATTACTTTATTATTACGATTATTTTAACTGCGGGCATCTAAAATACAAAAATTTACCAATATTGATGCATGAAAAATGCGAATGAGTCTTTTTGTGGACAGGAAGCTTTTACTTGCTTTCTCATTAAAAGCCGATTTAAAAATATTTGAAGAGGCAGTTAACCGAACATAATTCTTTTAATTCTGTCATGACGATCGAATGTCTCGTCTGCACCAATAACAGTAATACTGTCTGTGTAAACTTACTGTGGTTACTGCTTTATGTTGTATCTATCTGCAGTATTATTACAAACATTATTTCTGTCTATTCTTTTCTCGTATTCATTATACCTTCCTTGCATTTACTTTGACTTGATTGTTTGCCACATTTTAGCTACAGGAACGGTCAAGTACCACCTGCAAATTCTCAGCCTGCTTTTCTTAGTATTATTTCGCTGTGCGTTTTGAGTGTTTTAGCTTTTCTATATACCACATATATTTCGTACATCCTTCATCATTATTTACCATAGTTAGGTTCTTCAGAAAAAGCTCTCACATCAGGGATCTGAATCGCAGTTTATTCTTCTTAAAGGTCGCACGGCCGTTACAGGCAAAGAATGCCATCTAGACCCTCGACGTGGTCAATCTGATTCAGTAAACTAGTTTCAGGTGTTTTACAGGTTCCCCTATGACTATTTTTAAGGTCAAAATACTTACTTTTTATAATCAAGCTATTACTCCTGGTAAGTTCTCTAAAAAGACATAATTTTTCATTATTTTTCGTATGCAGGGAGTCAGATGTAGCCAATGTTTTAATAAAATTTTCCTTACCAATCTTTCTTACCTTAAAATCCCCCAGCAGCAGCATGACATAATCAGCAGGTACTGCAATACAAATTATATCTATTTCATCATAAAAATAATGTTTATTAGCTTTCTCTTCATCTTCAGTGGAAATATTTGCAACAATAATTAATATGTTCTTAAAGTTGACCTTAAATCTGATTTTACATTATCTGTTGCAGATGCCTAATAGATTAAAACCTAAGAATTTGTTTTTCTTATTTTACTGGATATAATAATAATAATAATAGCAGATATAGCAAAAGTAATTAAGTGAAGTGCGTATGTAGAATCTGTTTTTCTATTATTGAAAGTCCTTTTATGTTCTGCTATACGTTTGTCAAAAGTTCTACCAGTTTGACCGATGTAAGTTTTTGGGCAGTCACCACATTTAAGTTTGTGTACACCACTGTGTAAGTGCTTTTTATTTTGGTTCTTGTTGTTTTTAATATATTTACCTAAGTTGTTGTTTGTTCTAATCCTTTTTTTTTATGTGTTTTGCTATTTTTGTTGGTTTCTTGCCTGTATATGTAATCGAGCAGAAGGTACTGGGTTTCTTCTCTGGTGGTGAAAATACTAATTTCAGGGCTTTGTTATGTAATTTTTGATTTAAATTTTTGTTAATTGTTTGTTCATTGTACCCATTGTTTATTGCTATTTGCTTTATAATATTTAATTATACCTAACATTGCTCTTTCCGTTGTTCTTTCTGTTGTGGCTAGTTTATTCATGTTTGCCTTGATTAGGGTACAGGTTTGACATCCATATGTCATGATAGGAAGGATGTATTGGTTGAACACTTTGCTCCTCAAGTATTGGGGTATTTTGCGGTTCTTAAGTATACAACTAAGTTTTCCAAATCCTGCTCATGCTAGCCTTGCTCTTCTAGTAATTTCCGCACTTTGGTTCTCTTTGTCAAGGTTCAGGATTTGGCCTAAGTAGATATATTCCTGTACTTGTTCTATTTCACTGCCATTTATAGTGGTACGTCTGGGTCATCTGTGTTTGTCATTATTTTTGTTTTTTTTTCATATTCATTTTTAGGCCGACGTATTGAGAGCTGCCTGCTAGTTCCTCCATCATAATTTGCAGTTCCTCGAATGTGTTCGCTATAATCACTATGTCGTCAGCGAATCTGAGGTGGTTTAACTTGTCATTAACGTTAATGTCATAGGTTGACCAATTTAAGTAAGAGTATTACTATACTCTCGTTCCAGTCTTTAGGAATCTTGCTATTATGGAGACATGTATTACATTGTTCTGTTAGTACAGGGATTGTTAATGTCTTGCTTGTTTTCAAGAGCTCGGCAATTATACCGTCGTGTCCTGGAGCTTTTTTATTTTTTAGCTCTTTTAAAGCTCTTTCTATTTCGAATCCCTTTATATTTGGTAGTACTTATGATATAATATAATATATAATAATATAGTCGTGTCAGTATAGGTAGGTTCATGAAATACGAAGAACTCATGTTTTGAAGTCTGATAATTTTTAAATCTCAAAAATTTATGGATTGATTTTGTTCTGTTTCTATTGTAAATTCAATATGACTATGGAGTAAATTAATATAATATAAAAATTGGTCAAGTTGCCTGTTAGTTCCTGTAAAACATACCAGTACATCGTCTACATATCTCCACCAATATAAAAACTGTTTGAATACGGGATGTTTTGAAATATTTGTTTCTAAATGATCCATAAAAATATCTGATAGCATGGGCTTAGAGGATTACTCATTATAAGTCCTGCACTGTTATTTGTATATATTTGATTAGTAAATTTAAAGTAGTCCTGATTTATACAAATTACAAGAAGATGTAAAATTTCAGATGTAATCACAATGAACAACGGTGCACAGAGAATTTGTTCTCTGTACTGAATCAACAATAATAAATTCGTGAAAAGAATGGATTAGGACCGAGAAAGTTTGACTACAAATTTTACACACACAAAGTCCAATCCTACAACATGTTTAACATATTTTGATAAAGAAATCTATAGTAAAAGAGGACGAAAAAGAAGAATCTTGCATTACGCATCAACATATGAATAAAGTTACCTGCATAAAACTTGGCTTTGTCTTCATCAAACCTCTTTAATTTTTGGGAATGCAGCAAACTCCAAAGATCGCCTCCCAGTCCAACTTCCAATATAAAATAAATATATTTGCTAGTTTTGAAGCTTCTGTACATTTTAGTTATAAAAGGAGAATTGCAGGAAGAATGCAAATTTTTTTCATTATACACTTGTTCTTGGTGTGTTTTCTTCCGAATTTCTGACTTTTTGATATACTTCAGGGCAAAGACCAGACTTTTCTGTCGATTATGTTGAATCAGCTGTACTCTTCCATACGCTCCCAGCCCCAAGGTCTGTAAAACATTGAATTCGTCCAAATTTATATTTGGAATGTCTGATAGTTTCTCCGTGGCTGTGTAAGGCTCACTCTTTAGCCTTACGAACTCATGAATGTTGCCGAAATGCTCTATAAAGTGTTCCCTGGTTAGGGTTAAACATTCAACACCGGGAGGATCAGCTCTTACTGTGGCTTGTCTAAATTCATCCTTCAAGAGGGCTACTTCTCCGAAGTATCTTCCCCTAGACAGTTCTGTTATCTAAAAATTTTTAAAATTGAAATGAAACATAAACACAGAAATTATTGGAAGATAATTATTTAAATGATCAAAGAAGCATAAACTACAACATTATGGTTTGTGCCTCTTTATTTGACTTTTAGATAATACTAAAGAAAATGGGAATCTAATACAATTTCAAGTGAAAATACGTTTGTAAGTTTTGTACAAATTATTATACAAAATACTTACTTTTTCATTATCTTTTTCTACAGTAACTGTCCCAGCTCGAATAATATAAAACTTATTGCCTAGCTCGCACTGTTTAATAATTTCAGTACCACTTTTAAAAAATTCTAACTCTAAGAGATTCGCCACTTGGTACAACTTTTCAATGGGAGCAGTACCTAATTCAGGTACATTTTGCAGAAAAGATGCAATTTCTTCTTGTTCCTCTAAAGCCGTTTTAATGTTGAGTATCTTAAAGGTCTTACAATCTAAAACCCACACGGAACAGTTATCGTCGACTGCTCTGATAGAAGCATGGCGTTTGGCTGAATAAAGAATCGCCAGCTCTCCAAATACTCTGACGTCATTGAATGTGGTAATACTTTGGTTTTGGATTAATATTTCATATGTACCTACAATAAAAAAAAGTAGATTAATTTAGTGCTCCATTTTATATGCCCCAACAGAAGATGCCGAAGAAGATAGGAAGGATGAATTTTATGAATTATTAGACCAACAGTATAAAGCTGCTCCAAAACACGACGTCAAAATAGTGATGGGAGATTGCAACGCTAAACTAGGTAAGGAAGATTATTTAAGAGAAGTAATCGGTAAGTAATTGGTGAGTCGTAGGGCATTCTTTTGTCCTGGGTTGAGAAATCGGCCCCGAAGGCGGATGAATCAACAAATAATGATCAACGGCATAAGAATGCAGAAGGCAAAGGCAACCACTGCATAGAGCACCCCCAGGAAAATCACCATAGAATTGACACTGCAATTTCAAACCGTTACTAATCATGGAAAGCGGAGGCCAAGATTTGGCAGGAGAGGAGAAACATATTTATACTACGAGGCCTATCAGGTCGTAAACATGCGAGAACCTCGTGAAGAAGTCCTAAAAATAAAGAAATCTAATTTTAGAATATGCACATGGAATGTTAGAAGTCTTTTTGCGGCTGGGAAACTTGACAACGCAATTCAAGAAATGAAACGAATGAAAATAGACCTACTGGAAATTAGCGAAATGAGATGGCCAGAGTCAGGATCATTTAAAAAGGACGGAGGTGTATTATATTATTCCGGTAACAGCACAGAAGACCCGCATCACAATGGTGTAGGTATATTAGTAACATCAGAACTGAGTAAATATGTGACCAATTTCGTACCAGTCTCAGATAGAATAATATTACTCCAAATAAATACTCAACCATTTAAAACCATCATACTTTAAATCTATGCCCCGACTGCAGATACAAAATATGACGATGAAGTCGAGAAGTTGTATGATCAGATCCAAGACATCTTACAGAAACTTAATAAACACGAAATTTTATATATTATAGGCGACTTCAATGCAAAAATTGGGGAAGGTCGACGAGGTCAGACTGTAGGTCCTTATGGTTTAGGACAACCTAACGATCGAGGACAGAGATTGTATGAATTCTATAAAGAAAACGATATGATCATTGCAAACACCTGGTATAAACTACCCAAGCGACGACTATACACTTGGAAAGCCCCATTTGATGATGGCAATAACCCTGAGTCTTCAAGAAATCAAATAGACTATATACTTGTAAATGAGCGTTTCCGAAATGCCGTCAAAAAAGTCACTACATATCCTGGGGCAGATATTGGATCTGATCATCAACCACTCGTGGCAGATATTAAACTAAGGTTAAAACGAATTCAGCGACAAAAACCAAAAACCAATGTACTTAACTTTGACGATATAAACATAAAACATAACATTAAAAAAGAATTTAACAATAGAATAAAAAACATCGGGGAACAACTAGAAGATCCAGAAGAACTATGAAGTGAATTTAAAAACCAAGTTAACGAAATCTCCACAAACAATGATTATAGAAAAAACTTAATCAAGAAAAATAACTGGATGACAGACGACATCTTGAAATTAATGGAACAACGTCGACTGATAAAATCTAATGTAACAGAATATAGACACCTGCAGAGAAGAATAAAAAAGGAGATCAAATTAGCCAAAGAAAAATGGATGAGAGAAAGTTGCGACGAAATGGAGGATGTAATATCTAAATACGACTTATTTAATGTGCACAAAAAATTGAAAGAAATGAGTAATATATTTAAAAAACGAGTTCCCTCTGTACTTGTTGACACTAATAACAAAATTATTGTAAATGAGCAAAAAATAAGAAAAGAATCGCAGCTGTATATATCATAGTTGTTTGAAGATGACAGGAATAATATTGTCGAATTCTACCAAAACTGTACTGACGGGCCAGAAATTATGAAATGCGAAGTAGAACATGATCCAAAGCTTGTGGTCCAGATGATACACCAACTGAGTTGCTGAAACTAATAGAGAATGATAACATAAAAGTAGTAGTAAGACTTTGATTCAATAATTCAATATATAACACCGGAGTGATTCCCGCAGATTGGCTCAAATCCATCTTTATCGCAATACCTAAAAAACACAATGCGAGAAAATGCTCAAAATATCGATTAATTAGCCTAATTAGCCACACTTAAATTTTCCTCAGCATACTTCACAACAGAATTAGACGCAAATGCGAAGAAGATCTTGAAGATACCCAATTTGGTTTTGAGAAATGCTATGGGAACCAGGGAATTACTTTTTGCGCTAAACATCCTATTACAAAAATGCTGTGACCAAAGAAAAGATGTATTTGCATGTTTCGTGGACTTCGAAAAGGCATTCGATAAAGTACAGCATGTAAAATTAATGCAAATACTGAAAAATATCGGAATAGATAACAAGGATATTCGTGTCATTAAAAATTTGTACTGGAATCAAACTGCTATCGTAAAAATTGGAGATAACTACACCGATGAAATCCCCTTACAACGAGGAGTCAGACAAGGTTGCATTTTGTCGCCAACATTGTTCAATGTTTACTCGGACCAGCTATTTAAAAAGGCACTTGAGAGACAACCATATGGAATAAAAATCAACGGGGAACTACTTAATGTGATTAGATATGCAGACGATAAGTAATTCTATCAGATAATATTGAAGGTCTTCAAATTCTGCTTGATCTTATTCACGAGGTAGGAGAGGAAATGGGCATTAAAATAAACTCAAACAAAATCAAATTTTTAGTGTTTAGTCGTGACCCACATCCGAATGCAAAGCTTCAATTGAACGGAGTCCAAGTTGAGAAAGTTCACAAAATGACATATTTGCGAACTGTGATAACGGACCAACTAGATCCAGACATAGAAATAGTAGAAACGTAGAATAGCAATGACTAAAACTACTTTTATGAAAATGAAGTCATTTCTTTGCAATAACCATCTCAGTTTAGAACTAAGGCAAAGAATGGTTAAGTATTATGTTTGGTCTGTACTTTTGTATAGTGCAGAAGTGTGGACGCTAAAAATCATGAACAAAATCATGATCATGATCATGAACAAAATTGAAGCATTGGAAATGTGGGTTCATAGACGAATGCTGAAGATACCTTGGACAGCAAGAAAAACTAATGAAGAAGTACTAAGGAGCGTCAACAAAGACAGAGAACTGCTAAAGACTGTTATAGATCGAAAAATGTCTTATCTGCGACATATAGTAAGGGGAAGTCGATATAAAATTTTACAGCTGATCCTTAAAGGCAAAATAGAGGGCCGTAGAGGTGTAGAAAAAAAACAAGTTTCTTGGTTAAAAAACATTCTTAAATGGACTCAGATACCAAATGCAGGACAATTATTCCATATTGCAGAAGATCGAGAAGCCTTCGCAATGGTGATCACCAACGTCGGATAGTTCTGATATGGCACGCGAAGAAGAAGAATTGGTAACCATAGCTTACACGACACAACAAATGATAATGAACACAATTCGCAATATCTAATAACATGATCGTTAAATCCACCCAATTCGAGAGAAAGGACATCTACAAGGTCACATGTGTTTCAAATGATGGAAGAACACGAAATCAAATAGACCATGTCCTCATTGACGCAAGACACTCTAGTAGCATTATTAATTCGCGAAGTAGGAGAGGAGCTGACAGCGATAGCGATTGGCAGCAAGTGGTATCAGTTATAGAACAAGCAGTCAAGGAAACCATTGGAAAAAAGAGGACTCGTCCAAAACGGAAAAGGTTTGACAAAGCATGCGAGGAAATTCTGGAAATAAAAACGAAAAAAAGATTGAAAATTCTACAAGACCCACAGATGAGAACAAAGCAGATTTCAACAGAACAAGAGCACAAACAAGGCGACTATTAAGAACTAAAAGAGGAGCTACCTAGAACAGCAAATCCGGGAAATGGACAGAAGTGGCAAGAGGAATCAAATAAGGAAATCCTTTGGTGAAGTGAAGGCAGTCAGAAAAGGTGCAAGTGTTTGAGTAACACAGCCTATGAAAAATGAAGCAGGTAAACTTATAATAATAGAAATGGAAATCATCGAAATATGAAAGGAATACTTTCGGAATTTACTAAATATCGAAAGTGAGACGGAAGAAGCAGATATTACGTTTCATTCTGAAGATATCGAAATAACAGAACCAATACTTGAGGAAGTAAAGAATGCGATCGCGTCTCTAAAAGACCATAAAGCACCAGGAAATGATGGGATAAATGGAAAGTTGTTAAAAAAGGAGGAAACTTTTTACCAAAAAGGATATGACATTATTCTGAGAGTATGGAAACAACAGAAAATGACTAGAGAATGGAATGGAATATATATAGTATAATTCCCATATATAAGAAAGGAAACAAAGAACAATTCCGAAACTATAGAGGCATATCGCTTATTAGCACATCATATAAAGTGCTATCAATTATATTGCTAAAGAGACTCACACCATATTCGGAAGATATTCTAGGCGACTTCCAATGCGGTTTTCGTGCTGGAAGGTCAACTATAGATCAGATATTTACCATCCGACAAATATTAGAAATAAACTGGGAATTAAACCGCGATGTGCACTAAATTTTCATAGATTTCCAGCAAGCATATGATTCCATAAAAAGAAGCAAATTGTGGATAGCAATGTTAGAAATGAGAATACCAAAAAAATTAGTTGAATTAACGCAAATGTGCGTGACACACTCATATGCCTAAGTAAATATAAGAAGCAGAACATCGATGCCATTTGGTATAAGTTCAGGACTTAGGCAGGGGACCCCTTGTTACCGTTGCTGTTCAATTTTGCTTTAGAATATGCAATAAGTAAAATATCGTCTGAGCTGTCAGAAGGATTCGCTGATCAAGGATCAAAACTGTTGCTGGCGTTTGCTGATGATATAGATGCAGTCACGCTTTCTACAAGAGACGTGAGAGAGGTGTTTTCTCAGCTCGTGGAGGAAATAGGTAACCTGGGTATCCGAATAAATGAAGAAAAGACAAAATACATGGTAGTAATCAAAAATATGCACAACATATTCGCTAAGGATTTTTGCTTAGTTGGGGAGATATCTTGTCGAAAACAATTTTAGATTCCCCATGTCTCTAATTACATTTTTATCAACGTCTGTTTTGCCTTGCAATTCTTAGAAGGCACATATTAAAGCACAAATCTGAATTTGGTTTCGACAATTAGTTTCTGGATTTATTATCAGATGTCGCTATTCCGTCCATATCGAAGCCATTTTAGTGTTGCTTCTACTACGACAGGAAAGATTGTTTTCATGTTCAGAGCGTTTGTAAATAGCCGCTCCGAAGATTTCTTTAGGATGAAATACGTATAAGCGGATATACAGGCGCACTATACGAGAAATCAAATCTTAACATCAAATCTTAACTGTCTTTCCTCTTCTTTCAATATCGTTTATATATAGATGTTGGCTAAAATGTTGTGCCCATCTGTTAAAAGAACGGAGTTTTCATCATGTAGAATTTCACTGTTAGTGTCTTTACAAAATGTTAATCATGGTTTAAATTCTCGAAGGCTACTATATAAGGATTTCTAGTATTTTCTCGTTTCATTTTTATCGAATTAACTTTGTATCTCATTGAGAGTGTTCTTTTCGTATTCCCTCTTCTTTTTTTTCTTTCCTTTTTTTATTTTTTTTTCTTTTTTTCTCCGTGTACAACCTGCGTTGATGGCTTTTTGATACACTGCGTTCTTTCTATTTGCAGCTATTTCGCACTCATGATCAAACCAATGGTTTCTTTTCGTATGACTTGGTTTTGCCCAATATTTCAACAGATTTCTGTAACACAATATCTCGTGTATTTGTCCAAAAATATAAAACGTGCAGTAAAGCTCAATATATACAAGACCCCAATAAGACCGGTTTTGATATATGAGGCTGAAACGTAGACCTTACCTCAAAATGATGAAAGACTTCTTGGTAATTTTGAGAAAAAAACTTTTACTACTAATATGAGAACCTTGCTAAGCAACAGCAGCCTTAACTTAAAGCTTCGATATCGTTTTGTAAAATGTTACATTTACTCCATACTGCTATATGGTGTAGAAACCTGGACCATAACGGCCAATGTGATGAACCGATTTGAGGCCTTTGAAATGTGGGTATTTAGAAGACTACTTAAAATTCCCTGGACATATCACACAACAAATGTCGAAGTATTAAATCAAATGGGCAGAGAACGAGAATTGCTGCCAATAATAAAAAGAAGAAAAACTGCTTATCTGGGTCATATATTTCAAAATTCCAAGTGCCAGTTCTTAAAGCTTGTTATGGAAGGGAAGATAGAAGGAAAACGGGGCATCAGAAGAAAGAAATACTCATGGATTAAAAACATAAGGGATTGGACAAACCTCGATGCCCATGCACTCTTTAGAGCCACACAATATCGAGAGGAGTATGCCAGAATTGTCGCCAATATCCACTAATTGGATAGGGCACCATAAGAAGAAGAAGAAGCAATTAGTATGCTTGCTTCATAAAATATAATTCGTATAAAAATTACCTGTGCGTGAAATATACACGTGAGCTCCAAAATCACCCTCTTTAATAAGCTCTTCCCCTAAATGCACCTTTTCCTTAAACATGCAGTCAATAAACCTCTGGTATCGGTCATTTTTGAGTACATTTGATAGGAATTCGTTTTGTTCCAATGCAGCCCTAATCTGATTTTCTTCCCTAAAACAAAAAGAACTTGCAGAATAATTGCAGAATATATTAAATAATTTATTGTTACACTACCATTGTTTTCTACGATAACTTCAGCGTTATTAGGTGAAGAGGCTATAAAAGTAAATTTTTCTGCAGAATGTGATCATCCGTCATAAAAATTACTACAATATATAATCACACAATGCACAAACTGCGACCAAGTAAAAATACAATAAAAGTTCTTAGACTGAATGACGTAAAATTGAAAACAATTTCGTTTACGAAACTTACGCACCAATCGATATAATTTTCTGAAACTCAGGTCTACCAAAAATAGTTTCTGTAATTAAATTTGTAATGTGAAATATGATAATCACATAAAAGCATTATGCATTTGTATTTTATGTCCTAAATATCTAAATTTATATTTTATTTGCATAGTAAATTGGAAATATAAGAAGTTAGACTAGACAACCAAGTTTATGTAGAATATTGTATCGACCCCTGCAAAGAATAACGTTGTAACCAGCATTTATGGATATTCTTCAAAAATGATAAAAAAGATACCAATTTCTTTGATTTTTTTTTATACGTATCTGACATTTTTTTAGTGTAAGAAGTAAGTAGTTATATAAATGTTGAACTCCTCTTTTAGAGGACTACTTTTTTTATTAGAGAATAGGTTTTTGAACTGTGGCAGTTACAGTTTTTGATATACACATAGGGGAGGATGGGGCATTGTGAACCATCTAAGGAAGATATGTACATACTGTTAAACCAGAAATGATTTTGTTTTGTTTAATTAATTAGGGACGTTCATTAAACATTTAACTGTCATTTAGTTGCAATTGAAACATAATTTATTTAACGTATTTTCAACAAAAAAATGACAACTGACTATATGTCAAAAGTTCACATTGCCCCATAGGGTGGGGCAATGTGAACTACTGAGGAAAGTCACACTATTTCATTATCTAATGGCTATGTTTGGTAAATAAAATCAAGTAAAAAGAATTTTTTTATTAAAAATACTTAGAAAACCGGTAACAGAACATTAGTAAAAATAGACACATGTTATATTTATTCAGAAATACAAAATTCACACTGAAATTTTTCATCATCTTCTGGATCTATTCCCGCACATACTTCATGAGCCCAGTTCAGACAGGCCGAGCAACGTACCCATCCTTCTTCATTGGCTGATGAGGAGAACCACTCGTTACAGTAAAAACATTCAGCATCTTCACCATTGCCATCATCTTGTACTTGATGGTTACATTTATTTTTTTTCTTTCCCTTACCATCTTTGGAAGGACAAACTTTTATTTTTTTGTTACTTCTTTCACTATCTTCGTGATTATCATCATTTATTTTTTTCTTAGCTTTTTCCTTTTTCATTGTTTCTATTGCCTCCTTCGTGTTTATTTCAAGTTCTAATTCTAGCTTATACGGACTAGATGTCAGTACAGCCGTTTTACCTTTTTTAGATTTCCTCTTTGGTTCCATTAATTTACTTCCCTTTGGCAGAGGACGAATGTCTTTAGGGCTGTTTGCTTCAAATGAAGTTGTTGCTCTATTGTGTGCAGGGGAAATTTTCAATTGAAAATCGTTACCAGTATAAAGCTTTGCAACTGAGGTTGAAGCAATTACCTCATCTTGACTTATGTGAGGCTCTGCAGTTGAAGTTGAAGGAATTGCCTCATCTTGACTTGACACTGGTAGACTATTATTCTCCAAATCTCTTTCAGTCGTAGCAGATGGTGCAAAATCGAGGTCTGTAAATATATTGGGATCATAAGGTACTATCCCACATTTTTTAAAAGCGTTAATAGCAGTCAAAGGTGTTGCAGCTTGTAAGAAAGCCTCACCAAAAATTTTAGAGATTTGGAAAGCTGTTACCACTCTGCCTGGGTTGTTATTAAGAAACTTTTCTAATGCCATATCATAATATCGTGCTAAAGGAGCCATGACACCAACATCGGTTGGCTGCATTCGATGGGTGGAATGTGGAGACAAACAAATGATATGTACATGTTTTTCCCTAGCCAAATTAATTACTTCTATCTTTTTGGTATGGCTGCTGTGTCCATCCAAAATCAATAAGATCGGATCGTCTTCACTTGGTTTCGTTTGTTGAAGAAAATGTTGAAACCATATTAAAAAGAGGTCACTATTTATCCAGCCACTATCGCTACAGGCGAATATTGAACCTGGAGGTGCACCAGCTTGGAGTTCGACTTTCATTCTCTTTCTTGCAAAGATTAACATCGGCGGTATGAAGATTCCTGATGATGACATGCAAATAACGGCTGTTGTTATTCCACTTCTATCAGCAGAAGTAAGCCGTCCAACTTGCTTCCGTCCTTTATGCGCCAAGATTTTACTATTACATTTGGGGACTGTACCTAGACCTGTTTCGTCACAGTTAAAAACACTCGTTGGATTGACATGTTTAGAATCCAAAGTAGCTTTATACAGATCAAAAAATTGTTTTACATTGTAACGATTAAAAGCTTCAGCTCTTGCAGCAGGTGTTGATTCGGGTTTACGTAATGAAAGCCCTGGGTGCCGTTTTCGAAATCCGTACGCCCAATCTAAACCTGCAAGTTTGTTTGTTTTATTATATGGATGGTCTATGTTATTTTTTTCGGCTAACTGGAAAGCTAGGTGACGAAGATCAAGCAAAGTAATTCCGTATAAACGCTTCTCCATATCTAAGATATAATTATACAATTCTTCTTCCTGTTCCTTGGTAAAAACCGTTTTGTAGAAACCTAGACCCTTTTCGTCAGGAGAAATTCTTGTTACTTTTTCTTTGCATCTGCGAATTAACGTTGCTTTCGGGATACCATAAACTTTACTAGCTTTTAAATAGCCCATCTCCCCAGCTTTAACTGTCCGGATAGCATTCTTCAAGGCAACAAGAGACCAGGATTGTTGCTCAGTTTTCCTCACATAATTTCGTACCATTTCTAACTGCAAAAGAAGCATATAATTAAAAAAGTGTCAAGAAAATATAATGGGGCAATATGAACCACTCCTAGTCAACGTTGCCCCATGCGTAGTACACATTCAAAATATGGAAATTAACGTACCAGTTCACAACGTATCAAAAGCAAATCTTAATTATCAAAAGCATATTTTACAAGCAACACCACAGTATCAAAAAGTTAAAATAATCATGTCTACTTACCGAGAAATCTTTAGTCAAAAGTAGTAAATTCCTTAGATCAGCAGCGACGAAACACGTGTTTTTAATTATAACACGTCTGAACGTACTCCCCGTGCGTTCAAACTCATACTAAAAGCACAGTATAGTGCTTTAAAAAGAATTCTCTTAAAGCACTATACTGTGCTAAAAGTAGATAAGATGTCTACGCATATTTGTAGTAGTTACTAGATGCAGTGTTGCCAATTTTAAACAAAATAACCGATGTGGTTTACATTACCCCCATGGTCCATGATGCCCCATCCTCCCCTAAAGGTTCATCGAATCTGCACTTACGATGTTCTCATCGGAAAAGTTAATATGAATTTCAAATTATTGCTCGTTGTAGGTTAAGGAATAATAACAGGAGATAGTTTTTAAAATGCAAATCTTATTACAAACTAAATATAAATTCGAATTAAATTTAAAATGACCATATTTATTTTATGTCTAGTCTTCCATATCGTTGTCTTGATTAATGATTTTTGCAATCAACTGGGAGATTTTTAAAATAATTGTGGTAAGTGACAAGAATGCACTCAACTGGCTTCGACTTAAACTCTGCAGATCATCATATTTTGCTTTTGTTATCCCTAGATAAGATGAATATGCTAGATGTTGATTCTTAGAAAGACCTTTACTTGAAGTTGCACCTTTTTTGTTTCCTGGAGATAGGTTTCTATAGCAAGTTTAACTTAATTTTTTTATCGGATATGAAATCATATTGAATATTCACCGCGCCAGGATTTGTTTCAAAAAATATTTATGTGTTTCGCCCTGTTCCAGAAAATTTTTTCATTTTCTTCAGTTATATACCAATTTGAAAATGTTGTCATAAGTTTTTTAAAATTAAATATATTGTCTTTGTGCAATTCAGTTACCAAATACGGTTTACCTGATGTTTTTGCACATCTTACTAAGCTTATCCATTGTTCGGGAATAAAAACTGTTTGGTTCTTTTTACGTCGCTCTATTAAGGCGTGCATGGAATCTCCCTCATTTTGGGAATGACCTACCTCAAAATAATTGTGCGTTATGTTTATAGAAAATTTTTCAACTGCAAAAGAATACATCGCAAATATTATTATGTTTATATTTTGTCCTCCGCAATTATTACTATAAAATATAAAATTTTTATATCCTTTTAAAACATTAGTTGATGAATGAACACTGAACAATGAACAATGAAATTATAAACACTGCTACTTATTTCATTAGCTCCCTTCCTTCCTCTGGTTTCATCCCACATGTAGCAAAATCCTTGATTGGGTCCTATATCAAATATTGTGAAATTATAAACGCCTAATTTTCGTTTATAGTAAAACATTGACAGTTCAGACTGAGGTGTGGTAAGAACTTCCTGCAAGTCGTAACAAGCAACTATAGTTTCCATTAAATTTTTAGCGATCTCTTTATCCTTTTCCTTATATTATCTTACAACAGTCTAATTAGCAATATGGTTAGTGTACTTCAGATCCATCTCTGCTTTTTCGTCTTCGCGAGCATTTCGGTAAACATGACAGAAGACAAAATGGACTTTTTTTGGTTTAAAAAACTCGATGTTAAATTCACTGTTGAATATCTCACGGTATTGTCTTAATGTTGCAGTAGACGAGATAGGATGTTCTTTCTGCATCCACTCCGTATACAAATCAAAAAGTTTAGAAATGTTTAGTTTCTTTTTAAAATATAATTTTATTGTTTATTTTTTCTAAGGTAATGAGACTCTACTGCTGGAATAGATGATATGTGTTTTCGAACAGTCTCTTTTATTTGTTGTGCTACTCATTGTGGTCGAGTGGTGTATTTTCCACACATA